GTGCTTCTACAGATGAAGAATATGATTTGTATGTGTAAGATACACATGCATTCTTCATTTGTCCACATGCACAGTGGTTTTACTTAAAAATAAATGCAATGCTACTCTGAATATACAACACACAGATCTTATTAAACAATATAAACTATGCTTTTTTTTATTGCAAGTAAGATAATTCAAATGTCATATCCAAAACTGGAAATTCCCTCACAGAGTATAAAGTCATTTCTTAGTTTGGATCAAAGCAAGGTTTCTTTTTTTACTAAGAATCTTGTGGTCTACCTCTACCATTAGTAAAATATAAAGCTAAAGTTTACTACAATTACCCCTCTATTTTCAACAAATGTTGAAACAATACTTTTTTAAAAGTATTTTTGCTAATTTTGTCTTGATGTTTTTTACCAGCACTCAAAATGGAGTAAGTTTACAAAATTCAGAAAAGCAATCTGCAGGTATTTACTCACTTTAAATGTTTTGAGGATCTTAAAAACAACAACAACAAAAAAAAACTAATACATATGAAAGAAACATATCCTAACATATTTATTTCTAGATATGACACTGTATATGTACTAGACACTCTACACTTATTAAATAAGTCTTACCTGCTCCTCTCTCAACTAGTAATTTTACAACATCAATGTTATTATATCGAGCAGCATAATGAAGTGGAGTCAATAAATCTTCATCAACTTCATTGACTTTTTTAAGCACCAAATCTTCAGGAATATTTCCAAGAAGAATCTGCATAACTTTAATATCACCATTTCTAGCCACCTATTTAAACAATGTACAAGAAAATAATTAAATATTCTCAAATGAAGTTTTTAACACCATAAAGACTTAACTGTTTTCAGGTTTATGTTAAGCTTATTAATATAATGTTCCTATGGCTCGGCTATTTGGAAGCTTATTCCTTAACATGCTTACTTGTTTGACCTTTGACACTTTCAAGTTGGAGACACTTTTGATGCAAACCTATACACCTTGTATGAGAATATCCAAAATCTTTGGGGCACTAACCCAAAACCTTCCAAACTTTGATAGACCTGATAGAGGTGGGGAAAGGTGGCAATAGTCTCATCATAATGAGTTACAGTAAGTGAACAGACATGCTTATCAAATAAATAATATGTTATTGGAATAAAAAGGTACTTGTAAATATGCATACACATCTGGTCTTCTGTTCTTAGTATAGTTTCTCTACTACCAAACTGTAGTTGTATGAACAAAGATGATTTCAACATGCTATAAAGGTGTTATGTTTATTTAACTTTTTGTTTTGTTTAAAATGCAAAAGTAACACATAAAATATAATAAATTTTTACCTTGCTTTAAAAGGAGGGGAATATAGTAAAATAAAGCTTAGAAAATGATCTTTTCATGGAAAAGCAATGTTATAATAACAATCACAATGTTTTGTGTGAAATTGGAGATGATCAACCTTTCTTCTGGTAGGTAATACTATTTGGCAAGATCTGTTGTTTATTCAAACATGAAATGTTCTTTTTTTTTGTAAAATAACATTTTGTTCTTGAGAGAAATAACTGTCTGTAAGCTCAATAATTTGGTGCACATTGAGCATAGCATTTCTGTAGCTTTTTCTACACTATAATCAAAGGAAATTTTAAGTGTTTTGGATTTAAATGTTCCCCTTGCAGAATTTTTAATTATTCATCTACTATTTTTTCCTCGCAGTTAGTTAAAAAAAGCCAGTATTCAAAAATTTAATTTGTCCACAATTGGTTTATTTGTTGTTAAGCACCAAGCTACACAACTGTGCATATTAAAATCTGAATTTTAGCATCATAAGCCTGCAGGGTTACCATGTGTCCATAATTACAAATACATCTTATCACACATTATTGTTTAATACCACAGCTTTCTTAAACAAACTAGTCTATACCAACAGAGAGTATGTATCTCCTTGTCTGTCTGTCTATAGCAAAATGTTCTACAGTTGCTATATGAACAACTTTATGCTCCATTTTCTTTTCATTTACTTATATAATTTTCAAAAATAAAAGTGTTATCTGAATGCTGATTATGGTGGGACATTGACAGCATATGTCTTTCATACAAGTAATTTTAATTAAAATTCAAAACTTTAAATACATATATACAGTACATTATTTGCTTTTTAGTCTCTTTGGTCAGCATCACAAATCTGCAAGTTCATGCATTCCAGATTTTATTGACAGTGGACAGATGCCAGAAAAAGTACAGAATTCTAAAGAGGTTGAGGAAGAATTGCCCTAGAAATTATAAGGCATTTAGTCTTACTTCTGTAGAGAAAAAAATGCCTGATAAAAGAAGATTTGCAGAATTGTTTAATCATTTATAAAAAATATTATATACTTGAAGAAAGTCAACATGGATTCACTAAAGTAAAATATTGCCTAATCAATTTGTTACCACTTTTTAAAGATGTTACTGGTTACGTGGATGACTGAAAGGGTGGGTTCTCAGTGTACATAGATTTTCAAAGATTCTGACAAGGTGTTACACAAAATATTAGGTAAGAAAATCACACTAACAGTAGTTGAGGAAAGACTATTAAGTTAAAAGGGTTGCAAATGGTTGGATTAAAGAAAGCAAACAGTTGTTCTTAATGAAGTCTAGTCAAACTGGACCCTTGTTACTAGTGGAGTACTTCAGGGGTCAGTACTTGGGCCTTTCCTTCTTCAAAGTTACATTAACAATATTGATAAGGGCATAATTAGTAAATTAGTATTATAAAAGATGAGGAATATTTAACTATTTAAATTCTAGTATATTAGTAAAATTTACTAATGAGACACCCTTGAAGGACCACACAATTCCTTGTTGTCCACATCATGTTATTTTGTTTTAAATATATCCTCAGTGCTTGTTGATATATGCAAAGTCATTATAAATATTCTTGAAGACCAGTCCTTGAAGAGTGTTTTGCAAGTTTCTTTAAGATTTTAATACATGTCTATGAGTTTAAGATAACCACAGTCCTAGTAGGTTGTATGTTAGCTCTTATTTTCTTTTGTCTTTATAGTTATCAATATAAAAACATAGTCCAAAATCAAAAAATTATAGCTTCAAAGACCAAAAGTCAGCCCTTAAAATGTAATGGGCATATTAATCTTAAGCACTTATTTTTGTATTACTTGAAAAGTCTAAAAAAACCTAAAAATAATGCATAATATTATTTAAATATTTCCTTTATTATCTAAGGTATGCTGTTAACTACTTTTTGGTTTATTTAATCTGTTTAAAATATGCAGAAAAACACAGAAAATATTAAGTTTTTCTTCTCTTTAGAAATGTCTTAGATTATATGACAATCTTCTTTGGTACCCACACATGACTAGGTTATTGACAATAGCTTCAACTAGTTCAGTAACAACAAATAATTAGTAATCCCAGGAACTGTTTATTAACACATAAAGACAAATTACACAAGACAATTTATAAATATGGGACAGGTGACATTCACATGCTGAGCAGCAAATCCAGTTAGGCACTAACAGGTTGAAACATACTTGGAAATACCTACAAAAGTGATAGTAATGAGAGTTATTAATCCCTAACTTCTCTCTTAACTTGACAGTTAAGTATTTATGTACTGAAACTCAGCATATGTCAATGTCACATGTCTACAATTATTAATATAACAATATGTCACAAGCTAATAAACAACAAACACCTTGTACAATGCATGTGACTGTCGAGTTACATCATACATTATAGTTTAAGCTTATCCAAAATGACTGAACAAGATGCAAGTAGGAAACTTGTAAGTTATTATTTAATATAAGTTGTGTTGTATGTGTGTGTGTGTAATGTAATAAGTTTGTGATGATATAATAATATATGCAGTGATTATATACCAACAGATGCCTGCGTCTGAATGAATAAATAATGGTAATGTAATTTTTCACAAGTAAATTACAATATATATATATAGAACTGTGTAGAACACTGACAACCCTAAATTTAGATTACCTAAGAAATGTCACCAATGAACACTACACACTATAAGAAAAAAATGTGCTTCAGTTTGATTTATAGAATAAGCTTGATTGCTATATAATGTAGTAATATTCCTTCTACATATATCAGATGTGCCTTAACAACAATAACATTTTTCCACGGTAAGTACACCCGCACATTTATAATGAACCTTAGCTAAACCAATACATCACTTATTTGCACTATATGAAACTTCTAGCAAATAATCTTATTTTTAGTTCAATTAAACATACTGTACTTTTATTACTGTCTACAAGATTATTTTTTTTAGTTTTACAAGAAAAATTATTTTTCATGACATTCTTCTGTTATAATTCTTATGTATAATTAGTTTCTAAACTTTGTCAAGTAATGACTTTCACAGAATAGTTTTACTTAAGAACTAGTGAATCATTCTGATAACTTGTAGTAGTTGAATTTAACATTTTTAAGCATGATAAATGGTGATTTATGACTGCCTTTTGTTTAAATCTATTTACCTATAGTTATGGTACATTTGAAAGATTGTACCAAGAAATTACAAAAAATACTGGAACATACATATATATATATTACATATTTCATAAGTTATTTAGAATTTTTCTTTTCACAAAACCTAAATTTAACACAATTTTATCTACAAACGATTGTATACCTGATGTAATGTAAGATGTAGTTCTTGGGTTGTATCCACTTTCGCTGCATCACTCCCTCTAGCCAAATTCCTTAGTTCTATCACCAGGTGAACAGCATCTGAACATGTTGGCTTTTTATCATTCTCCCTCATTTGGTTGTCTGTGTCTTCATTATTGAACATTACCTTAATTAGATCTTCACTCATTGATGCATTCTCTTCGTCCTCCATGGAGACAGTTCTATCCGAAAGTAAAATCTTGTAGTAAATAAGTTGAAGTAAAATTTGAACTGTAAACAAACAAATAAGTTATAATATTTTTTTTAACTACTTGATGATCAAATGATGTTTCAACATAAGTTTCATAGATGATCCTTCAGGATACATGACATGCAATTGCCATACAGTTTAAAAACCATTATGTGTTTGGAGTTGAGAGCTTGGATAAATTGGCTTATTAAATCATGTCCTTGCACCTTCAATCACATTAACTGCATATAAAAGTGTGATATCCTTAACTCACCTTAATATGCAGAAATGCAAGACAAGAAACAAAGCTAAGAACCTAAATAAAAACATTGTGTGTTAAGGAAATAAAGTTCAAGAAATAGTAAAGACAAAACTAAACACAAAATATCTGCAGAATCACACATGTCATACAAATGAATTTCTCAGAACTGACAGTGCTTACACCTCTTGTCAATTTTTAGAATTTATAGCTAGAACTTTCAAGTATTATTATCTTACTTAGTAAAACCCTCTAAACGAAATAAGGATATTACAAGGGTGAATAATTTACTAGATACAAAGTGGTGTACCTCCCCATCACCATCAGTACTCTTCAACAAAACTATGGCCCTTAATAACTCATGGTGAAATATTCAGGTTAAGGCACTGCACTGTGTTTCTATTATATTCTCAAATATAAAATTCTATGGAGATTCATGTAAGAGAAAAGTAAAGTATTACTATAATTAATAAGTTAAGTTTTAAAAGCTAAATCAAGATTCTAGACAGCCACAAACTTACATACAATGGTACATAGTAGGATCTAAACTGGAGAACAACTAATGATATAGTCTTGGAACTATGTTCAAGAAGTGAAGAAATGTGAAAAATTATTAAATACTTGATAAAACTCTGAAAAACAGTAAAACAATGAGGAAAACTTTTAAGAATTGTAGAATCCCAAAAGAAACTGTCTCTTACTATTAAGAAATGACCCAAAATAGGGCCTGGTTGTTCTTCCATATATCTTCATGCAAATGACTTAAAGGAGTTTAAGAGAAGGATTGATAAATATTTGAATGATAAGAGCTTATTTTGAATGTTTTATTTTTATTTCAGAGTTTAGTATAGTGGATGGGATTGCCTAGATTGACTAACAAGTTCCTTTTTTGTCCTTAAAGTATATATATATATATGTACATACATATATTAAACAATATCATGAATCAACACTACAAATTCCCTTAAGAATCTTAAATACTTCAATAAAATCCCCTCTAACTCATCTTTTTACATGAGAAAATAATTTCAGAGATTTTAACATGCTCTCATATGACAACTTTACCATCCAAGGTCAGTAGGTGTAATCCTAATAGCCTTCCTTTGAACCCTTTCCAAGAATTCAATGTCCCTGTTAAGGTAGGACCGAAACAATACTCCAAACTGGATGAAACTACATAAATTATTCATGGATTTTCATAGAATCATTCATTGAAACAAAGCATTATTAAATATTATATATCACTGCAAATGTCAAGTTGGTACAATTACAGTACTTAAATTTATTTCTGTCACCACAAATGATTTCATTAAAATCTACTAATCTTATAAATATATATAGCTTCACCCAAAGAAAACATGGTGACCACCATACCACCTGATACTAAGATAGTAATTGATTTTAATAAAAAAGAATAATAAAAGCAACTATTTCCTTGGTTGAATTATAAACACTTCATATTAAAAATATATACTTAGTTATTACATGGGAATACAAAATATCACAGATGTACTTTTGTAATTAAAAGTGTGAATTTCTATGTACGTTTCCACCCTACATCATTTTAAAATTTCCACCAATTTTAAGTTAGTTAAATACATGAAGGGAAAGAACATTTATAACAAATCAAGTTAAGTAATATGGCATACACATACTCTTACACAGCTTTTAATTAAGGCATGACATTAACTATTAGTTTCCAGTATCCATCTATAATTCCAGAACTTAAACTGACTATGAACAGTTTATTTTTCCTTACCAACTTAAAAAGGTTAATCTTTCTATACTTCATATTCACTTTAAAAAAAAAAGTGGAAACAAAGATTAGATTTTTAATGTTTATCATTAGTCTTCTTTATTAACTGAAATCATTATGTTGCTCTTCTCTATACTATTTACAGAAATTAGTATTTTTTTTACATTAAATTACAAATACATATGTTCTATAAGATACAAATTATGGCATAAAATTTATGCATCTATTAAATAATTAATTCAATACAGCAACCTAATTTTGACTCCTACAAATTTAGATAAGTTAATGTGTAAAAAAGCATTACCAATGTTTGATTATAATTGTACGTTACTGTACGTTTTATGTTACTAGTATTAGTAGTAGTAACTTTAAATTTAATGATAAATGGTGAAACTGGGATAATAATATTGCTACCACTAGTAGGTAGTAGTTTGACTCCGAGTTATTTTACGTTATTAGATGAATTACTAATATTAGTAGTAGTAGTACTACTACTAACGCATCAACATTATCATCATTAATAAACATTCGATTTATATTTACACTTTACAGGGCTGCTAACTTTTAGTTTTAAGAATCTGTTAGAATGGGTCTTCTCAAAAAGTTAAATTTAAGCGCGCGGTAGAAACTAAAAATAAAATGTTGTGAGCATTGAATTTGAAGGTCACAGCCTTCTAAGTTCTAGGGGGTGTGAGAAATTCTCTTCCAGAAAAATTTGGTATACAATGAAGCAAAATGGCATTTTCTAGTTCAATGTGATGCTGAATTTTACCTATTGTCAGCCGGTCAACCAACCAAAACGTGAGATTATTTTACTAAAACTATATATATATGTATAAATATATTAGTAGTAAACGTGAGCGCGAGAAGACCGGGTGTGAGAGCATCATACTCTACATTTACTACTAGTACTTGCAAATTATAACAATTACTAAACTCTAAAGCCAGTAAGATAAAGTGTAATATGTGTAAATATTATACTCACATACGTTTTGTCTGTTCTTACAAGTTAGAGACAACAAATACATATACAACAAAGACCTTTCCGAATGTTGCTCACTGTCAAACTTAACCACTTTTTACATTTGTATTAAAATTCGAACGAAGATATCACGTCCCTACCAGTACCAATCATCTGACGTCAAGGAAACATACAATCAAGGGCTTGGTTATGTACACATGACAGAGATGATAAGTAATACACCATAAACCATAGCAATCTTGAGTTTCAAGACGATCTTGCCTTAACTTAAGTTTTTTTAAAACAGAAAACAACATAATAATATACGAAAGAAATATAATTTAATAATAACAATTGGATTAAGGTTTACTGAAATTCACAAAGAATTGTCAAAACACTCAACAACTGAATATTTGTAGTTATTCAAAACACAAAATCATAAAAACAATATTGTAGTTAAATGTCAAAGTATTATGCTTTTTATAATCTCTTATTTACGTAAATTAATGATAGCCTGCCAACAGAAAATTTGTGATTCGGAAAACTCAACCAAACAAAAATGAATACCAGCTTTTACCACAGTTTAGGAACTTACAACTAATTTTTTAACCACAATTTTATTTACACAAAAATAAGTCCCCAGGTAGCCCAGCGATAAGCCTAAGGGTCTTATAACATTAAAAATCAATTTTGATACTCGCTATGGGGCAGAACACAGGTAACCACTTCATAACTTTGCGCATAACGACAAAACAAACAAACAACAGCAAAAAATAAAATAAAACTTACGTGTTATGTTTTTTCGTTGGGGTATTTCTAGTTTGGTCACATATGTCCATATTTACGAAAAATATTTTCTTTGTTTATGTGGTATCGTGATATTTAAATGTACATATGTGCTCGATAAAATCTGCAAAATCTGCGATAATGTAATAACCGGGAAAGAAATTAATCGATTTTTATAGCCTTTAGTTACACAAACAATGTTTATTCACAGTATGCTTGACATAACACATTTAGTCTAGAACGAGATTTGTCGATTCTGCAAACAACCAGTTCTAACTTGAAGAGGTAGAAAGCTAACATCTATATGTCTTATTTGCTTGAGGCAAAGGTAGCTAATTTCTCCTATGCAACACAAAAGAAGGAGTATTATCTAACAAACTTATTCTAGCCTATTTTAGATCGAATTTTGGATTTATGTTGACTATTATGTGCTCTAATGATTCTGAATCTGCCGAGTTAACATATTGTTACGTCTCTGGTCGTTTGTTAATTTCCTGTATAATTTCTTTCGGATGAAACTTTAGCGACACAAGTTCTTTCTTAAATAAAACTAGTTTATTCTTTCTCAATACAACTTTGCAATACACATAATTTCCACTTTAACTTCAACACACGCTACAATTCACAACGAATCACGCACTTTACTTACGGTCACTACCGCGCTTGATTCAATTGTCCTTCTCTATCTCTGCCTGTCTGCAATTCAATTTATATTATCTCGTTTTATTTGCCTGCGTATATACAGGAATAGAGGGCGTCTAGCAAATACTGGAATATTCGTGATGTTCCCCGATCCTTCTAGATACTCATTACGCTCCCAGCGTCACGTGACTTCCGCTGTCGTAACACTGCCCCTTCCTTAGTATTGTTCGTCCCG